GTCCCTTGATGCTGGGTTTAATCAGGCCAATGGGACGCAAGCTAAACGGATCAAGGGACCTATATATACCCATGCATGTGACCCAGAGCTTCCTCTTTCGGTGCGTGCATCAGAACACCCGCCCACCTCTCCCTATATTTAGGGCTGTGTGCTTGACTTTCCTATGCCATCGTGTGCTGTCTGTCGTTGGGACAGAGGCATGGCAGGAATTTCCCCCAGCTGATTGGCTGTTGCCATTTGGGTTTCGCCTGCCGCGTAGCAAATCGTCACAACTTGTAAGGTTGCGGATAGGCTCTGTTTCAGGTGATAGGGATGGGAGAACGCTCTCGCCATCCCTATGTGAAGGGTATTCTGTTAAAAGAATCCAGGGACTCGATGGTTTGGTCAACTCCTGTGAGGGGGTTGTGCCCATGCCTGAGTCCAGGGGGGCATTTGGGTGGCGGAGATAGCCTGTTCCCGGCTTTCCGCTTATCCAGGTGTTCACCCTAGGCTGACCTATGCTGGTGCCCTGGGTCAGCGCTACTTGCATGGCAGGGAGCTAGTCGAACCCAAGCCTATGCAACCATTCACTTGCTGTAATCAATAAAGTTGTGGCCTAAATTCTGCCAAAAACCAAACCAAAATTTGAGTCTTGTCTGAATTTATTTAATGGGGAGGTTTAAAGGTCTGAACACGCAATGGTGGAACCCAGGTAGACAAAGTTGTCTACCATCTCAAGCGTGCTGGCGATGTAACAAAGATACAGCAACAATACACAATGACATAATTAAAATCAATCTGTGCTATTTGTTTACATACATTAATTATGTCATTCTATATTTCATTATTGTGGTATTGTGTTTTAACTGCATTGTAAACCACCCTGGGATGATAAATCAAATAAACCAAAATGTATCAGTAGGTTGAGAACACAAAATGAGCAGTAAGGGGCTTTGTTACTCCCCTCCCCCATTTGTTCCTGTAAAACATACAGGGAAACTTTTAAATTATTACCCAAGGAACTAAGAAACATCAGTTACCTGACAGCAATAGCATTACTCTGCAGCTTGATTGAAATTTTACCATATCCTTAGGGGATACTTTGAAATGGTTGCTTAAGGCAACTGATTCCTTGGTGTAAGTTTCACGTTATTTCCAAGTTTGATTTCCCTTCTGATTTCCCCTTTCATAACTTGCTTTCAGCATGAGCCTGAAGTTGCTGTGGAATATTGATACAATTGTTTTGTTCTTCCGTCATTGCTGCTATAAACAAGTGATTCATGTTTTCTTCTGCAAAGTTTTCTCTATGGGCTGCTGTTGAATTTCCACTGCATAGTTTCTCCAATCCTCCTCGTTTTCTTCGTTTAGATTAGCTCCGATGATATTGAAATGTTTATGGAACCAAATAAAACCCTCCCTTCTTCTTTCTAATGAACCTTTCAGTTCTGAACTGAAAGTGAACAAGAAACCTTCAACACAGTCTCATCTTTCTTAAGAAACAAATAGACTATAATTCACTATTTTATGCTTCCATTCATCCAAACAAACAGCAGGGAACCTAATAAAAAAGAAAGAAATCTGGGTCATGAATACCGGAGGGATCTGTGAATTGCTTTTTATGTATGAAATATGTTTTGTCCTGGATAAGAACCATAGTGAATTATTGTAGTCAGAATCCAAAAAGCTACTTAGGTTCACTTAAGGGGCTTCTGTTAGTCTAGTGCAGGGGTAGGCAACCTAAGGCCCATGGGCCGGATGCGGCCCAATCACCTTCTCAATCCGGCCTGCAGACGGTCCAGGAATCAGTGTGTTTTTACATGAGTAAAATGTGTCCTTTTATTTAAAATGCATCTCTGGGTTATTTGTGGAGCATAGGAATTCGTTCTTTTTCCCCCCTTCAAAATATAGTCCAGCCCACAGCATGGTCTGAGAGACGGTGGACCAGCCCACGGCTGAAAAAGGTTGCTGACCCCTGGTCTAGTGCAATTAAAGCCCCATGCACACATTTTCATGCCTGTTTACAACTGCTTTTGAAACTTCCCTGGTGATTGCAAGGCTAAAACCCTTTTTGGACTAATTAAAATGTAGACATTTGCTCGATAAGAGTCAGACCAGAAGCGCCTGTGGTCCAGCATCCTTTTTCAAACAATGGACAACCAGATGCCCCCAAAAAGCATACAAAGAGAGGGCATGAAGCCAAATATTTGGTATTCAGGGATATGAGTGGACCTGACAACAAAATGTCACAATGACCGCTCCCCACATTAAATGGGGGGGGTGCCCTTTGCATGGTCGCGCGCAGCCCCCTGGACCCTATGCGGCACCATTAACACAGGCTTGGCTTCGCCTTCCCCAGGTGGGATACCTGGAGGTCTCCGCCTACCTCAGCCAGTTGCCCAATCCTGCCTGGGGAGGCGTTGCCAAGGTGATCAGGCCAGGTAGTGGGAGGGACCACCTGCCCACACAATAGGGGAGGATCTTACCTGGGAATCGTCAGTTGGCTCCAGAGCTTCTCCCACCCTACCCACCTTCAGTTAAGACTTCTTTTGCAGGTTAACCTTTTCTCCACAGGTACGCGGGCGCTGCTACGTCAAGGTCGCTGTTGAATGGCCGGAAAGGAATTCCCCTGCATTGGCAGGTTTGCCTTTCCCGTAGCAAAACGTCACAACTTTGGCGGTATCAGGCCTTGGGCAGAATTCTTTAGTCTATCTTCCCTGAATTGGGGGGGGGCATGCAGCGGTGACCCACGCCCCTCTCCTCTTTGCGGCGGCGATACCAGGGTTCCCCGTTAAAGGGGTTGTTTGAGGGGAGGCTTTGGCCGTACACCTAGAGGTTGTCATTGCTCTCCCCTGCGACAGAGGTGGCCTCTCTCTGCTTGAACATATGTTCTCCAGAGCCAGGTCATTCCCCCCCACCCACTGGATAACCCTGATGTTCCCCAGATCCCCAGAAGGGGGGACTGGGAGGGATAAACGCCCAATGCCTGAGCCAAGGTCTACCCACATCTGAAACATAATAAAGTTGTGGCCAATTTTATTCCCATAGCACATTGTCTTGAGTCGTTATTCCACACGGGGGTCGCCCAGGGTTTGGGGGACTCCGCCCGTCCACGCAATGTGAAGCACACTCTGTTCAGATACAGCCACTCCATTTTTCATTCCACCTGGCACCAGGCAGTCAAAATCCTATGGCTGCTGGACATGACGTCTCCTTTCCCCAAAGCTAGACTTCCCACCCTGAAGACTTTTTTTTTCTAGTTGCGCAAACCGGGGTTTCCCCCTAAGTCTGCAAATACCTCCCTCTTGTGTGTCAATGGTGCTGTTTTGGTTGCATAGGGACCAGCTTAATAGGCTCACCTCCTTCCCCAATAATTTATAGTACAGTGGTACCTCGGGTTGGGTGGCGCTGTGGGTTAAACCACAGAGCCTAGGACTTGCCAATCAGAAGGTCGGCGGTTCAAATCCCCGCAACGGGGTGAGCTCCCGTTGCTCGGTCCCTGCTCCTGCCAACCTAGCAGTTCGAAAGCACGTCAAAAGTGCAAGTAAATAAATAGGTACCACTCCAGCGGGAAGGTAAATGGTGTTTACGTGTGCTGCTCTGGTTCGCCAGAAGCGGCTTAGTCATGCTGGCCACATGACCCGGAAGCTGTACGCCAGCTCCCTCGGCCAGTAAAGCGAGATGAGTGCCGCAACCCCAGAGTCAGTCACGACTGGACCTATGGTCAGGGGTCCCTTTACCTTTACCTTTTACCTTGGGTTACATACGCTTCAGGTTACATACGCTTCAGGTTACAGACTCCGCTAACCCATAAATATTACCTCGGGTTAAGAACTTTGCTTCAGGATGAGAACAGAAATTGTGCTCCGGTAGCAAGGCGGCAGTGGGAGGCCCCATTAGCTAAAGTGGTGCTTCAGGTTAAGAACAGTTTCAGGTTAAGATCAGACCTCCAGAACGAATTAAGTTCTTAACCTGAGGTACCACTGTACTTCCCAAGTAGGGAATATACCAGGAAGATCCCAGCCTGGCTCATCCTCACCAGCTAAGGATGCATAGCAATCAAAGCTGGTCCAGGAGTGCTCTGTTCTGAACTTCAGAGAACATCTTCCAACCAACATAAAACCAGATGTATCATAAGTTTTTATCTATAAATACAACCTTTAGTTATGAAGTGCCTGTTTTCAGAAAGGCAATGCACAAATGATCACACACGCCAACAAACAGAGGGAGAAACATCCAAACCTTTCTTCTCTGTGCTCTAAGGCAGTAAAACGCACATGTCTGAGCTAGCTGCCAGCTTTAGGTCTGGGCTGTTTATTGCTGCTGCAGCAGATGATGGAATTCCTTAGTCTGTTTTTCTCTGATGCCTTCAGCGCTTACTTTTATTTCCCCACCAATCTGTTAAGGGAGGTTTCTTTTATCGGCAGGCAATCCTATGTTCAATCCATACTAGCATGTTTTGAAAAGACAGTGAGATGTGGATGTCTTTTTGATTTTCGTATGTATGTATGTATGTATGTACTGAACGTTATTAATTCTGCCCTTCCTCCCAAAGGAGCCCAGGGTGGCAATTTCTCCAGAAACATATTTCTGTTCCTTGTTCGTTGTTTGTCTCTGTGCCATATTCTGACAAAGGTGGGCTATGCGCTTGCAATTGTTCCATCATCTCGATATGTGTTGTCATCCCCATCCGTTGACATGGAACAACTTTAAGTGCATGGTTATCAGAATTGCTCTGCCTCGCAGGAATAAGGCCGTGTTCTGCTTCCACCAAATTCCTTCTTATTCTCCAAACGTGATCCCATGGAATCCTCTAATAACAAGAACACGTTTTTGGGCCCCTTGGGGACTCTCTACTCTTCCCATCACAAACTTTTGTTGAGCTCTCTATCACTATATTAGCAACATTAGTGACTACCCTGATTGGCCCATATGTTTGCATGGCCCAAATAATCATGAACCCCTTGCCACACATTTCCAGGCTATCTGATTTGGTTCTCCCTCTGTTTTCCTCCAAGATACAGGGGCAACCAGATAGGCTGAAGTGCTGAAGAAGTGTTTGCTGGAAAGTAAAATGAATTCACCACTCCTGGCTACTTCGCAATGGTAAGGTAAGCTCAAAACCCTCATTTAGAATTTTCTAAAGAAATTCTCATTTGTCCTTGGAACGAAGTATAAAAATGGAAGCATAAAAATGGAAGCCTCTGTCTCAGAGGAAGACAACTTTTGATAAACTGCAGACAGATTTTGGCCCATTGCCAGTTGAAGGAATGGTCATAAGGGAAACATAGTAAATTCAAATCTCTATAGGTACAAAGATATTCCCTAATCACTGACTCGTTGAAAAAAAACTGCTTTTCTCCTCAGGGTTGGGGTGAGCGTAGAACCATTCGTTCACTACGAATATAGTGTGGCTTATAGAATTCCCCTTCACATCTCACATTTTTATTGATTGGACAATAAATAAATCACTTCTTACTACATTGTGTAATTCCTATCTGGACACATAAAGAAGATTATTCCCTTTAGGTTTCAAAACTCTGCATTGGCTCCAGCATTCAGTCAATGTGACATTTTGGAGAACAGCTGCTACCAAATATAAACCTGTCTCCGGTAATAATGCCGCTATAAAATGAGAAATTATATATAATCTGAACTCTTTCCACACTGCGGTAACTTTTATATGTTCCAAGACACATAAATATTATCCACCAAGTTTTACATTCCCTTTCCCATAGCTTCAGCTTCCTGGAACTGCCTCAAAGCCTCCCCCCCCATTTGCTTACACTTCCTGGCATTGGCCTAGTACAACTGAGGGCCAGACTAAATGTAACACAGGAGATCCGTGATTAGGATATCACGTGATTAGGCCTTGTTCCTGTATACCTGAAGGAGCATCTCCACCCCCATCATTCAGCCCCGGACACTGAGATCCAGCTCCGAGGGCCTTCTGGTGGTTCCCTCATTGCAAGAAGTGAGGCTGCAGGGAACCAGACAGAGGGCCTTCTCGGTAGTGGCGCCCGCCCTGGGGAACGCCCTCCCTTCAGGTTTTTATTCCAGCCAAGTTAACAGCTTGGTTTTTGCTTTTTGCACACATACACCCAAATGTCTGCAGTGTTTTTATTCCATCCGAGTTGACAGAGCAAAAGACTTTCAAGGAATCCCAAGCTTCAATTGGAGGCCTTGGAGCTGACTCCTAGGAACCAAGGGCCCCAATAAAATATTGAGGGGGTGGGCCCCTGCAACGTTGATGGGCATTGCCATTCAAATGGGGGGGTGCCATGTCATGTGATTATGTGGGGCAGGGCTTACTTGTCCCCCCCCCATTTTATTCAAGTTGGCACCCCTGCTTGGAGGGTCCAAAATGAGATACCCCAAATCTGGTTCATAAGCCACTTCATATTCCTAGCAGATACACACTTTCTAATGCAAAAGGCAAAAGACCTTTACTCTAAAAATGAAATGTTCATTTTATCTGATTCAGTGCAGCTGCTCATCTTCGTTTCCAGCAGACTACTGCCAGCTCCATAAATAGAAAAATATGCATGCAGCTCCCATTAGCACCAATGGGACGTATATGGTTATAAATCCTCATTTAAAAAAAAGGAAATATATCCCTTAACAACTCTACCACTCCAACTTGCATCCTTACAGTTGCAATACGCCATCTGTGCTGGCATCCAGGAATCAGTCATATAGGAGAAAGTTATTTTTCCCCACTCGCACTTTCCCCCGTGATAGCAGTAAGTTAAAAAATAATTGATATCCCATAAAACGCAGCAAATGAAGAGAGCATTGCAACCATAAATGCACCAAAGAGATAAATTCATTCTGATCATTAATAATCTGAGAACATTAAAAGAAAAACAAAATGTAAACGCAAAAGAAAAGTCAGTCTCTCATTGCATTATTACACTTTCCCCAAAACCACGAGCACTCAGACAATCTAGGGGCACACAGCACTTTGGTTTTCTTTGGACTGAGAGATCACTTAAGGTGCTTTCAGCTTACTTACAAATATTCAGGTTGAACAGAGGTGGAGGTGGACATCGTCAACATCCCAAGAGCTGAAATACTGTGCTCTACTTCAGATCTTCCTGTACTCGGAACGGGGAGGATGGGTGGGCATTAGTCTGATTCTTGCTGTGATAGGAATTTTGGGGTCTTAGATACAGTGGTACCTCAGGTTACATACGCTTCAGGTTACAGGCACCGCTAACGCAGAAATATTACCTCGGGTTAAGAACTTTGCTTCAGGATGAGAACAGAAATCGTGCAGTGGTGGCGCAGCAACAACAGGAGACCCCATTAGCTAAAGCTGTGCTTCAGGTTAAGAACAGTTTCAGATTAAGAACAGACCTCCAGAACGAATTAAGTTCTTAACCCGAGGTACGACTGTATATGGTAATGTCCATAAGTGTATCAACCAAGCACATACATAGATCAGCACAGGAAGACCAACCTGAAACCATTTTGATTCCCAAACTGACCAAATGTTTTCCCTGCACTGGGGGGGGGGGCAGG